ATATATATTCTAATCTGCAAATTTATTTGAAATATTGTGGTCCAAAATAAAATCAAAACTGAGTTAAGTTTGGACTTGTGTTTGACCCAATTGGTGTGGACCTTTTCAAGTACAATGTACATGGACATGTTGATTCAACCTGATAGTTACAAAAATTAACAAGTGGAGTGGTGGTGTGTTAATACCTGAAATGGTCTGACCATTTTGAGCCCATTACGACAACCATTAGTTGGCTGTTACAGGCCATTAATGGTTGCCAGACCATTTGTGGAAGTCATATATACAGAACCTATCTAAAGTTACACAACATACATCATCTGCATTATACTCTTGAGAGCCTCACGCATCATACATAGTTCTTAGTTCTCAACTCCGTTCAAGTTCGTCGTATCTCAAAAGTCTGAAGTGCTAAAGCTTCTAAGACGTAGTAGTCGTATCTTCGAGGAAGAGACACCTGAATCCGTCAGGGCATTATGGAGCATATTCTTCTTGTGCAATAGCAACTCTGGCCTTGACTTATACTGTCCAGGTGCCCGAACTGCCCAATTCTGTTAGGTCACGTTGTCCAATCCACGTGTTGTTCTTATGACATAATGTTCATCACTTAATTTAATCACTTTTAATATAATTAATTGACTTGTTGAACAAAAGCTAGTACCACTAATTGTTTTATTATTATTATTATTATTATTATTATTATTATTATTATTATTATTATTATTATTATTATTATTATTATTATTATGTCGAAATGCAATACTCTTGCAAGATTAACATAATAATCTTGAACTCACTTCAGGGACATCGTCAGACTAAAGCACACAGTGATCGTAAATATTCAAACAACACACCATACACAACACCACTACCCTACTCACATCAGATTATTGACCCAACGAAATGAATCTCACTTTTAGAGAATCAAAGTAACAACTACTGAATGCACATGTCTGTTTATATATTACGAGTTCAACTACTATTGACGAGATGCTGCAGGTAAAAAAGATCACCGACAATAAATCGAGTAATTATAATTGGAGCCTCAAACGTAATTTGGGAGCTAAATGGAGAGTGGAATAATATTCCTTTAGTAGACTGAAATATTATTCAAGTATGAGCAGAATGGACTTAGCCCACAGTTAGGCCCATAGTTGAGATGTCCTTATTTAACACCTACATAAGGTCCCTGTTGTAACATATAAATACACATCCCTTGTAAGTTCCAAACACAAGAGAGAAAAGAGAGATCTTGAGTTTTTGTGGGTTTAGAATTCCAATCAAGATATCTCTTAGATTGTCGCCCACCAAGACAGACAGAGAACATGTTGGATCATACAACAGAAATTTCAAGGTGATGACCCGAGGCAACCAAACACAATCAACCATGCACGATCACCGAGCAACCACCGCGAGGCAGATGCAAGACCACTGCAAGCCAGCCGAGCCATAGCTACCCGAAAAGCAGTGCAGGCCTGCTGCAGCCGCATGCGACACTCAACAGCCAGTCGCGCAACACGCAGCAACCAGCGCAACGCCGCACACGATCCATCGACATGAGGAGACTAGCGAGATGCGATCGAGCACACGAGTTAGGGAGAAGAACAAAGGCGAGAACAACATCTCAGAACCGGTCATCCGCAGGCCGTGTGGGTTGTATGACCATGTGGGTGGAAGTTCTAAATGAATTGTCTAGAGCTATGGATGAATACAACATACATCATCTGCATAACACTCTACTGATAACTTCACTCATCATACATAGTGCTCAGTTGTTAACTCAGCTCAAGTTCGGCAGAGCTCGAAAGCTTGAAATGCTACAAAATTAAGACATAGACGGTGTATCTTTGGAGACGAGATGTCTGAATCCATCAACACATTATGCAGCGCATAAATCGTTTTGCATAAATAATAACTCTCACCTTGAGGTATTCTTCCCAACCAAAATTTCTTATATTGTTATTTCAATTCTTTTATATTAATATTAATTCAATTCATATATGTATATATATATATTTTTTGACACGTACCTCATTCCAAGCTATGACAGGCAGGTAGCTGCGGAGATACGTGGCGCAACCACACCAAACATGAGAAAGGCTAAAGATGAGACCTCGATTAATGATAAATTTGGATCTGCACTCGATCTTTTAAAAGAAAACCCACAAAAGATCAAGAAAGAGAAAGAGCATATATACAAATGGAGAAGGAGAAGGAGAAAAACAAAGAGAAGGGAGAGGGGATAAACATTTCAGAAGGGCTGCCAACGGAAACAAGTCCGTACACACAGTACAAGGACTTGGAGGATTACAAGGAACAAGGATACGGCACACACGGCCACCTCGAGACCAAGCCTGGCCACGGCGCCGCTGCCTCCACCGATGCTCCCACCACAGCTGGTGCCGACGCTATTAACCGCAAGGGAATGCCGTAAATCGGTTGATGCTTTTGGTTGCTTTTGCTAGTGTTTTTGCACCTCCATTTTTATTTTGTTCTCCGTTAATCCTTTTGCATGTCCATCCATAGCATTCGCAACATGCACGGCTGTACTATGAAAAAAATCTTAATTAAATAAGATTAATACTTATAACAA